TTTTTTTTTTTTATCTGTTTTGTCCCGGTCACGATTGATATCAATCCGTTTGGGACGGTGTCTCGTCCCAGACCGTTCCCGTAAAAATAAAAATGGGACAGGTACTGGGATAGATCAAATCCCGGACCGTCTCGAACCGCGCCCACCCCTAGAATTTTTTTGCCCGTAGGTAAATTATATTACATAGATTCAATATTTTTAATTTATAACTATTATTTAATGAACATTTTTCATTTATAAATATTATCTTTTACTCGTAACGAGATTTATATTGGAAAAAACACAAGAAAAACATGACAGCCCATATATTAATATTCTTTCCCAGCAATAGTCTTCATAATATGTGAACTTTTTCTTGACCTTTTCATTTCTAATCTCATCTGTGTACCATTTTTCCAGTAATTTGCCCATAGTACGTACAGTTTATGTGGCAAACTAGATTTAAAAAAAAAAAGGAAAAAAAAAAAAATCAAAAACTAAGAATGGATGGAAGCAGCGGCAGCGATGAGAGCACGATGAGCGACTCCCCATCTCTGTGCGGTGTGGGTAAGCTCCCGTCGTCCCGTTTCAAGGGAGTCGTCCCACAGTCCAACGGCCGGTGGGGCGCCCAGATCAACGAGAAGCACCAGCGCGTGTGGCTCGGAACTTTCGACACCGAGGACGAGGCCGCCCGAGCCTATGACACCGCCGTCATCCGCTTCCGAGGCCGCAACGCCATCACCAACTACCTTCTCACGGAGGTCGACCGCGCGGAGGAGACCTTCCTCGCCTCCCTCTCCAAGGACGAGCTCGTTGACATGCTCCGCAAGCACACCTACGCAAACGAGCTCGAGCAGTGCCGCCGCCACGGAGCCTTCCATCGGCCCCACACGGCCTCCTCCGGCCCCCACGAACACCTCTTCGAGAAGGTCATGACTCCCAGCGACGTCAGCAAGCTCAACCGCCTCGTCATCCCCAAGGAGCACGCCGAGAAGCACTTCTCCATTCAAGAAGGCAACAGTTCAAAGGGGGTTCTGTTGAATTTCGCGGATGGCGACGGGAGGGTGTGGCGGTTCAGGTACTCGTACTGGAGCAGCAGCCAGAGCTACGTGTTCACCAGAGGCTGGAGCTGCTTCGTCAAGGAGAAGAATATTCGGGCCGGGGACGTTGTAGCTTTCCAGAGGTCGGAGGGTCAGCTCTACATCGACTTTAAGCATAAAAGCCGTGGTGGCTCACGATGGAGATCGAGATCGGGATCAGGATCGGGATCGGGATCGGGATCGGATCACGTAATGAGGCTGTTTGGAGTTGACATATTCCAGGTCAACCGAGATGGGTCGGCGAGGAGGGATAGTAATTATGATGATGACGACGACGAGGACGACGATGATGATTATATGGTGGGTTTGGAGATGGGGTTTTTGAGGTTGAGTCCTAGCAAGAGAAAAAGGTTTATTGATTCCTTGTGAAATTATAAATATAATAATTTTATACGGAATTATTTTAGTTCTAATTCATTTCTTTCTTCTTCTTCTTCTTCTTGTTTTTTTTTTCTTCTTCTCTAGACTTTATGTTCAAGGGGTTATACAAATTGTATAGTTATAAATAGATGAAACTGAATAGCCTAGGAGGTGGAATCTTGAATAAATAAATCATATGCAAGCAATAATTTGTTGTTTTCTTTATTTTATTTTATTTTATTTTTTTTCAGAGATTGGGGGGCATTTTATGCTATTTTCATGTGTTTTTTCTATTGATATATTTTTCTTGGAGAGTTGAGGTGAGTTAAATTCAACATATGCAGATTTTCAAGTTCACTTTTGTATTCATGTTTTGGATATTCATCGTCTCTTCTAAACATCATGGATTTAAATGATTAATTAACTAATGCTGGGTCATGATTTCATCTTCTTGTGTTGTCGATACATGTCATTCATCGCACTAGATCAATACATGAAGTAGAACAAACAAGATATTCCATATATTTTGCAGCCCTAATCTTCCGATATATTGTTTAGGTTTGTCTAAAATGTGTATTTTGTGCATGCCCAATGGGAAATAATGAAATGAGTAAATTAGGGGCATTTTTTGCTCTACTGATTCCTCGATCATATCCGAGGATCATACGACTACAACTTATATTCTTTGGTGGTTGTTAATACCAGTGCAATACCCCGATCGACTAAGAACCGCCTCGCCGTCACTGTCCTCACCGGTCGAACGTCGAAACCTGCACAAAACTCTCAAACCGGAGGGATTTCCCGGTGAAGAGTCTCCAACGCTCAAGTCAGCCTCAACCTCAAGTACGAAAAATGATATAATGTATTTTGATAGATAGTGTTTTAAATGATAAACCTCACCCCTATATATGTAGGGTGAGATATTTGCCCTAGAAGTTGACCGGGCTTGTTAAGTTGGCTGCCCGATCGTACAACCCCTAGTGTAGGCGTCAGGAATGTGTCAGAAGCGGTTATTACCACAGAACAATCTGGTTCCGCCACGTGTCCTAGGCACATGGGCAAAGGTTCTTTCAGTCCTTTGAAGACTTATATGTTCGACCATACTTGGGCAGACTATCAAGTTGCTCCTGGAGCATGAGGTGGTCGATCACAATACCATATGATCGACCAGCTAACTCGTCGACTAAATCTTCTATAAGGCTGAGACCAGTCTGATCTTCCACAACTCTTGTCACTAAGATCTATCACCAATCTGCATGGACTCTGTTCGACCAGATCGACTCCTCCGATTCGTTCCGCCGACCAACCGGACCGGTATAAGAGATAATATCCCATACCATCTAGTTCCGCCTTCACTCTGGTTGAGTCTGAATGACTCGATCTAAGAGTAGATTTTCGCCCGTCTTTTGACCGTCGATTCCACTGTCGTCTTCGACCAGCTGGTATGTTATCTGTTTCTTTTTAGCCCTTTATTACTTCAACTGTCGTTTTGAATTTCAAAATTTAAACGGTGCCACTTGTCCATCTTGTCAGGTGCGTCTCTTCACTGTCAGGCCCCATCATTACTCCGTGATTCGTGCTGCTTCATACTTCGGGTCCATTTAAACACTTCTTCCATAATAACCATTGGATCAACACATTTAATCCGTTGGCTAATATCACTGTTCCGGTTCTTCTGTCTTTAAATCATGACCCTTCATCCCACCTTAATCTAACGGTTGGAGGTTCATCTCCTTTACTTTCTTCTCTTATAAATACCCTGGCCACCATACTTGGAAATTTTTTCAATCCTACAGATTTCCGCACTTTATCTTATGCCGAACTTTCTTGCGATTTCGAGCTTCATGCAACCCTAAGTTCTTCAATTTCTCCGTGAGTTCTCCACTGTTCACGATGAGTAAGTTCTCTCGATCTTTTAACTTGTGTGTTTTGCTTGAAATTCGTGAACTTTGCTTTTGATTTTGTTTGTCGATTACCTACGTCTCTGGATCTATCCGGCCTGCTGTATAGACCTCTTTTATCCGATATCCTTCTCCATTTATAGAAATCCCAAAAGCCCACTTTCTTTTCTCTCTTCTTATTTTTCTTTCTTTTTCGACATTTTTTCATCTTTAACTTTTTTTTTTCAGATTCTGCAACTTCAAGTGAAAACGACCAACACAGCGGCAGCGTAATGTCTTCTCCCTCTTCTTTCTCGACCCATAGTCTTTCCAGTAACTCTGTTGAGGAAATCCTTCAGGTTCATCCCATAACCATGATTCGACCAACTTTACCTCCCCAAAGTCCCTCAACCGAAGCTATTTCCCCTTCATCCTACTTTGTCGACAATGAAGATGAAGGTGCTACCTGTCATCCCCCTCCTTCACCCCCTAAATGTCTTCATCGACCACTTGATCTACTTGAAGAAGACCAGGAGGAAGATGAAGAACAGTCTGAAGTCCCTTCTTTTCCACCAATAAACTTCCAATACTTCTTTTACTCCCTCATCTTCTTCGACCATTCCTCCACCTTCTTCGAGCAAGAAAACTAGCTCCTCCCCCAGTCACCCGTCAACAAAAGGTTCATCTAAAAACTCCCACGCTCGTCCTACCTGGATCAACTGGCTCGACCTTGATCTAGTCGGTCATCCTGGGGCTATTTTTAGGCCCAGGGATAGTGATACCTAAGACCACCCCACTCAAGGCTCATATACATTTTTTCAAGTCCAATTCGATCTTAGCCTGTGTTTTCCTATCTGTAATGCTCTGCTCGAACTATGTGGTCGATACGGGCTGGCCTTAAACCAACTTTCTCCTAACGCTTTTAAAATTATGACCACCTTCATCATCATCTCTGTGATTCATCTTGGTCGAGTGGACATAGACTTCTCTATTTACTGTTACTTAGCCTCAAAACAAGGCAGCAGTCTATACCTCAAAAGTCGAAATAATGCCACTTTATTTCTGACCGTCCTTCTAATGTTCCCAAGTGGAAATGTAAATTTGTTTATGTTACCCCCAAAACCCCTTATCCTTGGGCTCCTACCGCTTGGCTTAAGGAACTTCTGTTCGAGCTAGCCAGTCCTCCCTCTAACCCTATATTCGACTGCCAGATTGCACTTTAGAACTCGAACCCTGTCTCTTTTGCTCCTCTACTCAATGATAATTATCTTTTGCACTATTGCGACATTCTTACTCACAAGTCTTATCCTCCTCCTCTCAAGAAACTTCAGAACATCCCTTTTCCTCTTCACCCAAACCCATTCTACACCCCTCCTTGTTCTAGTTGCACTTTCGTCATCTCATCCACATATAAGTTTACTTTTGTCATCCCTTTCCAATTTTTTTCCTAAATCACGTTCTAAGCTTACTAACGACTGGTACTGCCATAGCATTGCCCATGTAGATTGTAATCTCTCTTTTCTTAGGTCACATGGTTTTGTGAAACCCTGCAAACAAATTGCAGAAATGATCTGTGGCTCTAGTGTCTACACACCAAGTACTGGTAGACACAACCACTAAATATGTTTCTACGCTAAAAGCATGTGGATTACCTTCGTTGCCCTTTTTGAGGAGAGCCGTCGACTTTCCAATGGCTTGACTTATTACACATGTGGCATCTTCCATTTGGTGTCGTTGCCACAGTCTGAGGAGTCGGTCGCTGAACAACTGGTGCCAAATGTGCCTTCACCTTCCCTATAGACTTCTTCTTCTTCTTATCCTTGTTGGGCCTAGAAGAAGAAGGCTCAGCCTGCTAGGCGACTAGCACCTGAATATTCTGACGAAACAGACCTTCTGCCCAACTGAAGCTTTATTTATAGTTCCGGAAGAGATAACATCTTATTCATGTTATAGTTCAACCAAAATTGATCAAAGCTCTTTGGGAAAGACTGAAGAATAATATCAACCTAGGTTTTCCCATCGATAAATGCCCTTAGTACCTCCAGATCATTGACCTGTGACATTATCTTTAAAGCATGCTTCCTTAAAGGTGTGCCCTCGACCATGCGCATGTTTGTTAGTATTCTCATGGCCTCTTGCTTGGCAGCCCGAAATTGATGGCCAAACAGATCTTTTAGATTGGAGAGTATATATGCCGCAATAAGCATAGACTGAGTTGGTATTGAAGAGCATTTGACATAGAATCCAAAATGTAATATTTCGCTATCTCATCAGTCGTTTACCATTTGGCATACTCTTCTTTCTCTTGATCTGTAGCCCCATGTTCGGGCACATGCAGACAAGCCTCAGTTAGTACGTAATTGTACCCTTCAGAAGTCGGCACGATTTCCAAGCTCCTTTTCCAATTAATGTAGTTTGGGCCAGTAAGTTGCTTTGTTTACAATTACATATAACAAATTGAAAGACATGTTGAATATGGTCTAAGAATCATGAAAATATTTATTGATTAAACACTGTTAACTTTTGTATCCTCAAAACAATATTAACTTAAAATTCACCGACATCTCAAAACACTAAGAGTAACGATTGCTACATGGGACTTCACTACGTACTCAATATTCGCAAGAGAGGGTTTTCATGAATCCATTAATTTTCATGAGCCAAAACCAAATTCATGGCGAACAAAATTAATAGTCGGTTTCCTCTTGTCCATGCAACAAAACCTTACTGACTCCGTTTCTAAGTGGAACCCATTTCACGATCCTAAAATCATCACGATCTTATGTGTTGTGAGAAGCTCTAGTGTAATTTTGATTATAACGATCTTTGACTGATGGATTACGCTAGTGCATCTTGGGTGTATTGAATGAACCTACGGTTTTATAATGACCAAGTATATAATCTCAACCTTAGTAATTGATGCGTTCAATTAACTAGTAAAACAATAAATGGGCATATGTGCTCAACACTTACTTATTTGATTTACTAAGGCTGATACCCATTTTGTTAGGTTGACATACTCAGTATTTTTGTAAGCAATATTGTCTACATGATTTGCCGTTGAAATTGTTTACGGTTACTATGTCTCGTTTCGCCCCGAATTGAGCTCAGGAAGATTTATTATGTTAA